CTTTTCTTTTCTTTTCTTTTTTAATTTATCTGGGGTGCAGTAATTTTCATTTATTACGGGTTGATTTGTTTGTACAATACATTGTAAAAAAATGGTGCATCAGACACTAAATAATTTTATCTCATGAGTGACCGCTATAAAATTATGTTAACAAGGGAAAATATATCTAAGAGTCAAGAATGGTAAATGTCAACCAAATATGGCAAACTTCCAAGAATAATTAAGTTTTTGAATTGATTTTTTAAAATGATATTAAAATCTTATTAACTAAATAATTATAAGTTCAAATCTTATCACATTCATTTTATTTAATAAAAAAAATTTATTTAATAAAAATTAAACACAAAATAATATAAATATATCTAAGTTTCAAGCTTAAAATGTTACTTGAAAAAACATATTAAAGAATAATATAAGTCATATATTAAGATCTTACCTAATAATTTAAACTTTTAGGTAAGGTAATTTTTTGTGATATTAAAGTTTTAATGATCAAAGTAGTTACAAATTCAGATCTTACAACTCTCATTTTAATTAATAAAAATTAAACTCAAGGTATTGTAGACTTGTATAAATTTTAAATTTAAAATGTTTTCATTTAAGAGGGTATTAGAAAATAATATAAAACTACGATTGAAACCTTATATTATAACTTAATTTTTTAGGTTGAGATGATTGTTGATATAGTATTATAGCCTTATTAACTAAGCAGTTACAAATTCAAGTATTATAGCCTTATTAACTAAGCAGTTATAAATTTAAATCTCATCACCCTCGTTCTATTTCATAAAAATAAAGTATAAAGCAATATGAACATATATAAGTTTTAAGTTTAAAAGGCTTTTACCTAAGAAGATATATTAAAAAATTATATAAATTATTTATTGGGATCTTATTGTTTTACGCGTCTAAAAATATTATTTTAACTAAATATTTTAAGTTGTTAGATAAAATCTTAATAATAATTTTATATTATTTTTTAATAGCTTTAAAGTGGGAAAAATATACTTGAAATCTTCTTATCTTTCCTGTACATAATTCACTTGTTGTCTTAGGCAAAAACTAAAATAAAGGTGTGCACTCATCTACCTTGAATTCTTCTTGTCTTTCCGTTAACTTACCTAATAATTGTTGTGACATTTTCCTACCTAATGCTTCCTAATTTTGAAAACCCAAATTTTTAAATATTATTCCTTTCTGTGGATACTATGAAAAGGGATGTGTTTCCATTTGAAACATAGAAAATCATAACTAAAATTAGCAAAAAAACTAAAAAAAAAACTCATATAAGTCCATGTTAATCGATTTTCAATTGGATCCCAAACTATCAATTTCACTCCCAAAGTGACAGAAGTTCCTGAATCTAGTAACCCTTTCTGAATCAAAATATTTTTTTATGCCCAAAAGAAATTTCTTAGGAAATTAGACTTTGAGATTTTTTTTCAATAAAAAAGGGGAAGAGTTTAAGCAGATGACTCGATAAAGGAATATATGATTTGGTGACCCAATTGAGATATTAATAGTATGGGGATTACATTTAGAATAAGTTCATAGTTGAGGGACTAATTGGTGGTTTGGCCAAATGAAAAGCAAGGCTCACATATCCCAAGGCCATGTTCTAGGATCCAAAACAAATCAAAGCAAAATGCTTTATGCAAAGCCTATAATACTGCTGGATTATAGAACTCTTTGCTTCTTTTTTCACTGCAACAAAATTGAAAAGTGGCATCCAAGGCTGCACATCATTGCGCTGCTATTCACACTGTCCTTCTTTTACACAGTTATTTGCATGGCACAAGTCGGCAGCAATTGTCCTATTTGCATGGCACAAGTCGGCAGCAATTGATCTTGACAACCTAGTGATGACAGATATAGAAATAAAAACGCAAATACCATTCTTTATATGATTACATTCATATTAATTACAAGTCAGCAAAGATTAAACGGCTTGCAAAATCTGGATGCCCACCATAGATATTTCCTCAGCAAGCCCTTCTCCAGTCCCTCCCAGCAAAGAAAACTGTGATTCTCTCATCCTACAGTTATTGATATTACAAGTGGACAAACATGGTGGCTAAAGGCTAAAGGCATACTGTATTATGATCTGCTTAAAAGAGGAAACCAACGTTCCTGGAAATAAGAGTGGTAAGAGATCAGGAAAAAGAGAAAAACAAGCAGAAACCCGACTCCCCAAGGAGTTCCTCCAGCTCTATGGAGAGAGTCTTTCTCTGGAAAAGGAAGGTAATAGGAAAGCCTCCTGCCATATTGATGATCATCATTCGAAAACCAATGAACAAGTAGCAAAAGCAGCAAGGGAGACACCATTAGAATCAGCTTCCCTTGATCAAACATGCTCTCTAACACCGGCTCATATTTGATGTACCATGTTAAACCAATGAACACTAGCAGAATAAGCAGGAAAAAGCAAAGGTGTATCGGTAATGGAGGATGAGAGTTATAAGATGATGATGATGATGATGAATAACTATTACCCATGTTTTCTTCAATATTATTTCTAATTGTTACCCTAATAAAAAAAATTAGTCTTGATGTGTTGTGAATGAAGGGGAGACACTAAGAGGGTTTATATAGAGAAATGATGCACGTCAGAATTAATTTAATTTAGTTCTATTTTTTGCACAATGAAGAAAAGCGAGGACTTTACTTGCAAAATAAGCAATTAGATCCCTGCTTTTGATAAAAATAAATAAATAAAAATCCAACTGGAAATTCCCAACGGACGGTGACCATATTATATATATGGCTGGTATTCATCTTGTGACAAGTTGACTAATGAAGAACTGCCTCGGATCACCTACCATGGAACAGATTTCCAGCCATTGACTTCATTTTATATGGCTGATATTTCATTTTACTCTATTGCGATCTCGACCTTAATTCTATTTATTAGGGTTAATTTGTGTGCATGTAATTGTGAAAAGTTCTTTTTTTTTTTTTAATATAGGTATTCACGTTAATTTATATCTATCTCAATTAATTTTATAAATTTTAAAATTAATAATTATATAAATTTTTAATAATTATTATATTAATAATTATTTAATTCAAACATAAAATTACTGAAAAAATAAATTTTTTAACCCAAAATAACTTTTAGTACCTTAATTGAAAAGCATATTTTTTTTATATTTTTTTTTATTTATGTGGGATGTCCGAGCCAGCTTGCACACACCACGACAGGAAAAAAGATGAACCTTGGCTAAATCCAATACATCATGCTGATGACACTGTCACTCGAAAAAAAAGCTAATATATATATATTGGTTTCTTAGACCACAAGGGTTCTAGCTGGAGACTGTTTTTCAATCAATGATTTTAATTTAAATGGATAAATCAAAAGGAAAATGGCTTCAACGTGAACCACAACACCATCACGAGCTATGTAGAGATTAAAGGATTATATATATAGCTGTATATTCTAAATATAATTAAATTGATTCTTCTTTTCGCTGTTTAAGCTTAATTATACTTAATTCGTAATTTAATTGTTGGGGTAAGTTAATCAAACAATTACTTGTGGAAATCTTATTTAATTTTACCAGAGTGAAGATTCATCTTTATTACCACCAGTAAAGACTAAAGATATAGGATTTTACATGATTAGGTTTATTTGTTGCTATCAAAATTTAAGCATATTTAATTTGAAGGTTTAATAGTTTGAATTAGATTTTTATATATTTAAAAAGCTTAAATTTTGATCTGTTAATGGATCAGATAAAGATCAGAGTTGGTAATCCAATGGGCTTAAGGTCCAAATACCTTTCTAAATTCTAATGGGCTGACATCTGTCCTTGCCAAAATACAAAGCTTCAATTTCCTATAGCTCCAGAAAACACTAGACGAGCGGGTAATTTACCTGACCCAATTCTACTGTGAATTCGCGCGCACGATGACGCACTACGCGCCGCGCCCGCCCTGACTTCTCTTTACGTGTCAGAGAGGCATGGACTTTGCTTGTAAAGAACTTTATTTTATTTTTTCTATTTTGATTTTAATTAAATAATGAAAAATATATTTCTAGGGTTTTATTTTATTAGATGCTATTCAATTTTTATTCTTTTTTGATAAAATTATATTTTTTAATCTTATTTATAATCTTACTTGTGCATGTCTATTTTTATAAAAATTATATATTTTTTTATAAAATTATATATTTTTTAATAAAATTATATATTTTTTTAATATTTTTTAATCTTATTCATTATCTTACTTGCATGTCTATTTTTACATGCCAACATGAAAGTGGTGTATTTATACATGCCAACATAATATAAAAAAAATTTGTTGAAAACAATTAATAAAAAAAGAAGGAATTATGGAAGAAAAATATTATAACACCTTTTTGACAAAAAAAATATCTCTTTGAATAGTTTCCCATGTCATGAAATAATATATCTTAAAATTAATATATTATTTATTGATTAAATATTAATTTATTTAATTAGATGTGTATATAGATACTTTAATTTATTAATAAAAAAAATTATATCTAGAAATATATAGAAAAACATGTATATTTGTTTTTACTAAAAAAATAAATTATATAAGCCAATGCGAAGCCAAACTATATCGAAATATCTAGTGTTTGTGTATGTATGGCGTCATCAAAACGGTGAATGATGTCACAAGAAGCCAACATCAATTAAGGCCAATGGAGGCCTGGTTGTTTCTGCCAATCATGACACAAGAATTAGAGAGCACATAGCATCATTGTTCTTGCCGATGGTGGGTTGGTGAAGTGACCCACTTTCCAGTCCCCTTTGGACTCTTGCAGTGGCTGGCCACTACAGCATGCTCTTCTCCGATATTCCTTCTTTACACTTTCTCTTGTTCACATTACCACTCCCACGAATTTTAGTAAACCCCACTTCACTATGACTGAGGTTGTGTCTGATATTTATTTTGATAATTTTTTTTTAATTTTTAAATATATTTTTGATGCAGCATATATTATATTTTTAGAAACACTAAAGTGTAAAAATGATTTTATTATTAGCGAGGGAGGGCGATCCATCCAAGTTCCACTATCTTCCTGTTCGCATTTGACTTGATTTTACAAAAGCTGAAACCCCTCAGATTAAAAAAATGATTTCCATTGAAGAAATTCCAACAAAAAAGTAGCATGCGTTGGCTCTGTTCTTAGCAAGTGAGTCCCTGTGTGATCAAATAAATTGATCACACAAGTGTTATAAATTGAAACCTCTATCTTCCTTCCTTGTACGCATGCTTAACTTCTTGGGGTGTCCTCTATAACTGTACTGTATTGTTGTTCATGCTCTCTAGCAATGAATTCCCATTACACTACAATTCGACTAACAATGTTCGTCATAGTGTTGATGTCAGTTATGGTTAGCTTAGCAATGGCAGAGAAGGACAAAGATACTGAAGAATGTGCAGAGCAGCTGGTAGGACTGGCTACATGTCTGCCTTATGTTGGAGGAGATGCCAAAGCTCCCACCCCAGATTGTTGTAATGGTCTAAAGCAGGTTCTGAAGGACAACAAAAAGTGCTTGTGTGTCATTATTAAAGACAGGAATGATCCTGATTTGGGTCTCAAGATCAACGCCACTCTTGCTTTGAGCCTCCCTTCTGTTTGCCATGCCCCTGCCAACGTTTCCCAGTGCCCCGGTAAGTATTTAGCAGAAAGAAGGTTATGATATATTCCAATAACTGATATTTGTTGATGATTAAAGATATCAGTGCCCTGTTTGATTTATTGATGTTCGACGCAGCTCTTCTCAACCTGCCTCCTAACTCACCAGACGCTCAGATTTTCTATCAATTAGCAAACAGCTCTAATCATACTGCCAGCAGCCCCGCTCTCAGCCCCAGCCCTGGAGGTAATTATTGTGCTTGCTCCTTTCAATGAAATGAAATGAAGTAGAAGCTATTGTTATCGGAAATGAATTAGATTTATAGCAAGATTTTTGTATTGATTTGATGCATGGTATGGTGGCGGCAGGTGCCCAGCCCCAGGGAAGAAGTGCTCAACAAGAGAGCCATGGATGCCACAGTGGGAAGATAAACTTTGGCTTGGAGATTGTTTCTTTAGGGGTTTTAGGTTGGTGTTTCAATATCTATTCACACTTGTCCATGTAGGCATCCCATCCTCTATATATATATAGATCTTGAATTCAATCTTTTGAGAAAAAAGCGAAATAAGGACTGGCTTTTGTAAAAGTAATGCTGAATTTCAACCTGCTAGTTATGATTTTGGACTTGGTGAAGCCGAGAAAACACAGAGGACGGGCTATTCACACTTGTTAGCCTCCCTCTCTCTCTCTCCTCATTCAAATGAAAACAACACCTCGTCTTGGATGCATGATTATTAAACTGATCTGTGTATCTTCAGTAATTTATTGATTCAGAACCGAGGTTAATTTTGGTTTTATCTTAAATTGAATTGGAGGTTAATCTAATCATGCTTGATTGATCTAATTGACTCAGTCACTGTTCACTCTAATAATTTTTTATATATATAGTTTATATCTAAATCAATGTTTATTTTGTTTAAAAAACGAAAACAATATATTTTAGAATTAACCCAACAAGTTTATTACCTAAACTTTAAATTAGATAAAACCCCAATGTCGTTTAACCGCCCCACCCCTCTCATTTATAAAATATCAAAATAACAAATATGCTAAAAGTAAAGGGTTTAATCCAATTTTTTTCAAAATAAACTAAAATAATAAATTATTAATTTACCTCTCATTCAAATAATAAATGGCCTTATTTAGAAGGATATTAGAGTCCTTTTGTTTTATATGAATAGTGAAAATACTAAATTGCATTTGGAGACAAGAAATTATATGCCTTTAATCCAGGATATTATTATTTTTTTCTATTTAAGGTTTAGATTACTAAAATTTCTTTTAAATCAAAACAATCAAAATTTTTGGTTAATGAATATTTATGTATTTTTATGTTGATTATTTTATTTTATTTTTTTATCAAGGACATTATTTTATCTTACCGAAAAAATATTACTCGATTTCAAAAGGTTGTTAGCATATATATGGAAGGTGCTCCCACGACAGATAAGACAAGTTAAACTTGATCATTTATCATGCAGTTAAAAAAAGCATATTTCATTAATGGTTGTATTACTAGTTCAACTTGACATTTTCATGGTTATATTAGTGATCAGCAATGGTGGCATGATGAATGTTGCTGCGGCTGTATCGATTTAGTATTAACTAGAAACGTGGCTCGTGTTATGCAGCGGGTCAATTTTTTTATGTAAAAAATATTAAAAAAATTAAAATTTAAAAGTGTTAGATCTTTATGCAAAATTATATCTAAGAATATTATGTATGTCTACAATACCTGACTCAAAAGTTATATTTATAATATTAACAATCATATTAAAATTGCATGACTCAAGTTTAAATGGGTTTGACTACCATTAAACTCGGAGCTTTGAATATGGGTTTGGTTGCAAGGTCGTGTTATAAAAGTGTGATAATTAAAAAACAAACAATTTAATATTACAATAAAAATTAAGAAAAAATTAATTATTAATAATAATAATAAAGCAAAACATTATTTCAATGAATACAGTGCCTTGTTTGGCAGATGCTCGCACACTTTAAACAACAAATACAACGTCTTTCCATGGTTAAACTTGACCATTGATCGTGTAGTTAAATGAAACATATTTGATTAATGGTTATATTTGTGGTTAAACTTAACATTTCCATGGTTGTATTAGTGATCGATAATGGTGGCATGACTAGTGTTGTTGCGGTGGTAGTAATTTAGTGTTAACTAGAAATGTGGCCGGCATTATGCTGTGAGTTGATTTTTTTATGTAAACAATATTAAAAAAAATAAGATCTAAGAGTGTTTACAAAACTATATCTAAGAGCATTAGGTTTGTCTACAACGCTTGACTTAGAAGTTATATTTATAATATTAAACTTGCATGATTCAAACTTAAGTGGGATTGACTGTAACATCAGATCCAGAGTCTTGGATATGAGTCTGGCTGCAAGGTCGTGTTATAGGGTGTGATAATTAAAAAAGAGAAAAATTAATATTAAAAATTAAAATTAAAAAAAAATAATTGAAAAAATAAATAATAAAGCAAAGCGTTATTCCAATGAATAGTGCTTTGCAATGAGAAGTACAATAAAATCCTCTTATGAGATTACAATAATTTAATATAAAGTAAACAAAATAAATTATGAAATTTAATTTTTAATCAAATTGATATTAAAAAACAACATTAGAAGAAAAAAAACTAATTAAAAAAGAAAAAAATATGAATTAACTGGTTAACCTACTAAATTAGGTTAATCAGTTAAACTTGGGATTCATATCATGAGAGTATAATAACGAAATAGAAAAAAATTTAATATTAACAAACTAAACTAAATAAAAAAATTAATTAAAAAAACAATAAAAAAAACCCTATAACTAAAAGGTATTTGCTTTTCACTATGAATTTGCACAGTGTAATCCATAGTAAAAGGTTGATATATTTTAGTTATAGTTACAATATTAAAAGATAAAATTGAAAGGAAAACTTATGAAGAAAAAGAAAAAAATATGAATGAACTAGATTAATTCCCTAAATCAAGTTAACTTATCAAACCTGAAATATGTATCATGAGAGTGTGATAATTAAATATAAAAAAATTAATAATAATAAACTACATTAAACAAAAAAATTAATTAAAAAGAAAAAACAAAGAAAAAAAACTATAAGAAGAAAAAACTTATAAAAAAAATTGAATTAACTAGATTAACTCGTGAAACCTAGGATCCGTGTTATGAAAGTTTGATAACTAAATAGAAAACAAAATTAATTTTAACAACTAAATTTATAAAAAAATAATTAAAAAGAAAAAACACAACTAAAAAAAGATTAATTTAAAAGAAAAAAACAAAGAAAAACAAACCTGCATAAAGAAAACTTATGAAGAAAAAGAAAAAAATATGAATGAACTAGATTAATTCCCTAAATCAAGTTAACTTATCAAACCTGAAATATGTATCATGAGAGTGTGATAATTAAATATAAAAAAATTAATAATAATAAACTACATTAAACAAAAAAATTAATTAAAAAGAAAAAACAAAGAAAAAAAACTATAAGAAGAAAAAACTTATAAAAAAAATTGAATTAACTAGATTAACTCGTGAAACCTAGGATCCGTGTTATGAAAGTTTGATAACTAAATAGAAAAAAAATAATTTTAACAACTAAATTTATAAAAAAAAAAAGAAAAAAAAAGAAAAAAGCAAAAAAAAAACTCAACTAAAAAAAAGATTAATTTAAAAGAAAAAAATAAAGAAAAACAAACCTGCATCAAGAAAAAAACTAATAAAAAAAAAATCTAAATTAATTTGGCTAACTTTTCAAACACTGATCAAATCTAAGTGTGATGAAAGTTTGATAATTGAATAGAAAAAAAAAATTACAGGTTAACCTAGAATTAACTGACTTAACTTGTTAAATCCGAGATTCGTGTCATGAAAGTTTGATAACTAAATAGAAAAAAGTTTAACATTAACAAACTAAATTAAACAAAAAAATAGTTAAAAAGAAAAACTAGAAAAAATCTGGGTTAACCTGTTAAACCCATAATCCATGTCATAAAAGTTTGATAATTAAATAAAAGAATTTAACATTAATAAACTAAATCAAACAAAAAAAATATTCATTTAAAAAACAAAGAAAAAAGTATAAAACAAAGAAATACAACTTTAAAAATATAAATAAAAAAAACTTAATTTTTTAATACAGTCCATAATAACAAAACTATACCTTTGTAGTTATAGTTAATAATGATAACTGAGTGATTTTATATTGTGAGTTAATAATATTAAATAAAATATTATTTTTTAATAAAAATAAGGATCCAAAACACATGTTAATGTTAATTAATTAGTCATATTATTATTATTTTTATAAAAAATATATATACTAGAAAGTATTTTTTTATTTTTTTAAATTTATTTTTAATATAAGTAAAAGTAATAAAAAATTAATTTTAAAATAATAATCAAATCTCTCTCTCTCTCTCTGCTTTCCAAAAGAAACGGCAGCTCAATCAGGGCCAGTTCACCAAGGCAGCGGTCTCTCTCTCTCTCTCTCTCTCTCTCTCTCTCTCTCTATAGTTATCTCTCCAGATAGTCTTCATTAGGACATTATTTGGGTTGCTGAAAATTCAAGTTAGCAATAATGTAATTGCGTTCCGCAGACGTGGGATATTATTCTAGATGACTTGGCTGCTAAAAATATCAACCGAAAGGAGGATCTAATTGAAAAAGCATTAATTGTTTGCAATTTTGTTAAATATCTCCCTCCATAATTTCCTCCAGTTTTTCAGCAGCTTAGCATGACCCCCCAAAAGTCCAAAAGTCAACTTGTTCTCACCTAAATCCAAACCTGTTTATTTTTACTTTCCACGCACAGCACGCAATCCAGCCAAAATATAATTTAAATATAAAAGATCAAAATATAATTCAATCCAACCTGTTTGATAAAGAGGTGTTTGGAAATGTAGTTATTATTATTTTTTAAATAATTTTTTATGTTAAAATATATATTAATAATATTTTTTTATTTTTTAAAAATTATTTTTGACATGAGCATATCAAAATAATTTAAAAATACTAAAAATATATTAATTTAAAGTTAATAAAAAAATAAAAAAAATTTAAATTTTTTCAAAAATATTTTTAAAACGCAAAAACAAATAAACCATCAATTAATGGAAAGTTCGAAACTTTCGAGATATGAATCGGAAAATATTTAATTTGGCAAAAATTGATGGATTAATTAGGAAATTATTGAATGAAAATATCTTTTAAATAATTATTAAATCCGGAGCTCATTGAACATAAAATTCAAAGTTATGAATTAAACAAGTTAATTAGTTAATTATTATTATTTTTAAAAATAAAACAATATTTTTTGAAATTCTTTAAATTAAAATGAGTTTTGATACATGAATTAGATTGCTAGGTAGACGAATTAAAATGAAAAACTCTGAATTGATTTATTTAACATCCATCACAGATAAAGGACAAATTAATTAGTTGGGTCTCAAATCAGACAGAAACGCTGCTCTCGTGTTGAATCAGCATACGTGGTGCGTCCCATTGAATATTCACTCTTTCCAATATTCACGCTTTCAGCGATTGATATTTTTGGAAACTTTTTCTGTTATCATTTGATTATTTTATTTTTAAAACTGTAGTTATAATTATTTTTAAAAATATTTTTTATTTAAAAAATATATTAATAATATTTTTTATTTTTTTAAAATCAAAATAATTAAAAATATATTAATTTAAAAAAACTAAATTTTTTAAAA